AGACATGTTTGTTCGAACTAAATAATAAATATTTTTCTGTTAGTTGTATAAAATCAAAATTATAATTAGGTATATCAACAGATTAATTAGCTAAAGTGATACTTACCATTTGGAAAGTAACTTAAAGTGACAAGAGAATTGATGGAAAGTAATATTTTAAATGGTAATAAAAACGATTGCGAAGTGTTTAAACATTTCAAATGATTTTAATTCGTGTAATTATGCTAATAATTATTAATTATTTTCGCCAGATGATGTCAACAACTCTCAAGCAGAACCCAAAGGAGGTAAAACAAGTAACAGTAAGTTGTTTATTATCGTAATTAATGTTTTTTCCACAATATAAATAACAACGTTAAAAGTCTTTTTTAATTGCATTTATTTTTTTATTTTTAACTGCTGTTAACAATTTCGTTTTTAAGTAGGCCTAGTTGCAAAATTTATTTCATTTATACTATCAAAAATAAGCTATTTTTAGGCGCGAGTTTGCTACAATATCAGATTTTTATCCTATTCACTAATGATTATTGTATCCAAGAACTTATTTAAATGATAATTTAGAATGCATCTTATCTGCGTTGTATCTTTTAATTATTAACGCAAACATTCTGCTATAATAAAATGAAAATATGATAAGGGCGAAGGTAGTAACTGAAGAAGGATATAAATTAATGAAAAATTCTACATAACATATCATTAAAATTATCGAACGATCGTTTTTCTACACAGGAATAGGTTTTACACAATATAAATTGATCTTTTAATGATGATACATTTCGTACGTAATACTTTTTCGAATGATAAGTTGAGATGCATTGAAAAAAAAAGAATTAAAAAAGGGAGAAAGTATTACAACATACAGGAAAATTTTATCTAAAAAATTCTGAATCGAAAACAAGTTAAAAATTAACAAGTTACGCCTCTTTAAAACATGACCTTAAAATTAAATATAGTCTGTTATATAAAACAGGTAAACTGACTATGTAATATAAACATAAAAATAAAAAGAAATTTAATTTTTTTAAATGCAAAATTTTCCTTAAAACAATTTATAGAAGTGTTCGTGAGTACTACTAATTTTAATCTTAAAAAATAGCACGAAATTATTAAAATCCTAAAATAATCTATCTAAAACTTCCGACATCCTGAGACTAGCAGCGTGGTCCAAATTTCACTAAACACGTTTGAAACTGTTAAAATATTCTTCAACTGAATGGACACTAACCTTAGGAGTTTTCTGCGATTGATAAGTGACATTGATTTCAATTCAGTTTCTTCTATTTCATCTGTAAATAATAATGTTTCCAAGATATCAGGCAGATCTTGACCGTCCATGATATAAGCAAAAATCACCCAGGACTGAATCTAATAACAATTCATATCTACCAATACTACGAATGAACACTGGGTAATTCAGAACATTCAAACTTAGCATATCAGTGACGTCACGGCGTGGACAGTTTCTGCTATCTAACAGGAAAATCCAATAGGGAAATTAGGAACAGTAAAAAAATTCTTAGAACGGAATTCTATAGCAAAATTTCATAATGTAAAATATGAAATTTAAACAAAGTATTTTAAAGTAATTTTCTTATAACCATTTAAGAATTAGTCGAATTAATAATTTGGGTATGAAAGAATAGAGGATATTAGAACACTTCCAGGGAAGCTCCAGGAGTGACTGATTATCTCACTAGAGCACGTGACTCGCGGGCCACTTTAGGGATGTTTACACGTGAATGATAAATGTGAACGAAGATATTTGAAACTTTAACTGAACCTTTTCTAGATAAGAATATTTGATTATTTTAATGTATGCACGTGAACGTTTCCTTTAACTGTTTCTATAACGAATCGAAGTTCACTTAAGAGAATTAATTACTGTAATAATAATTGCTTCTTTTGTTACGGATTATCGAGTTTATTTTTTTATAATAAATTATAATGATAAGAACCGATGCCATTTCATGTTTTTAGTTATGATTTTATATATTAAAAATCACTTAAGGTGAGGGAATAATTAATTTGTTTTACTTTAGAACGTTTTAGAATCAATTAATAATGATAAAATTGAAAATATACAGTAGACCTATATTATTACAATCATGACTTCAAATTTATTATTATTATTAAATCAATTCTAGATACAAATATTCATTGTAACATCTCAGAAAACATAATTTATTTTTTGTATATACTTTAATATAAACTGTAATCCTGATAACTGTTTAACTGATAAGTTTTTATATAAACCGATAGATAAAGATGTGCTGATATAAAAATTAAAAACGACTCAAAGAAAAATCCGTTATACAAGAGGAGAGAGAACTGTTTTCTCAAGTAAATGAATGACAGTTAATTAGACATGATTGAATGTGGGTCTATAAGTTTTTGAGTATGATGGAAGGAGTCGTACTAAATTTACATATTTGGAATTAGCACAAAAACCTAGTTTACATAAACCTATCATTAAACAGAAAATGAGATTGATCTCATATATTTCTAACAAAGTTCTTATTTTATTTATACGTTTGAACCGACCTGAAATTTGGGAAACTTGGGCTCAAACATTTAATCATTCTCTTTTAAAAATTCGTTTGACACATTTTCGTTCTATGAACTGTCTCCTCTTGTCACGCATTCATTTCCGGTATATCTCATTTCTAATGCAAGATTTTGTGATCCATAAGTTGGTCTACATAATAAGATCATTAAAATTAGCATGAAGTATTTATATTTATTAATAATTAGGCCTACCTATTGAATCCCACTTTTCAGAGTTTATATTCTATTTTAAAAAATTCCTTTTGTGTACTCAGTTCTATAAAATCATATTTACTAGTCTATGCATGTTCCAAAAATGTTTTGCATCTCTCAAAGATCGGAAATCAGCAATTAAACAGCATTCGTCGTCTTGAAATTGCCAATAAAGCTATTGATAGAATGAATATTGTAATGAAACTAGACTTTGAATGGAATTTTGAATACAATGAAATGAATTTTTTCTATATGGAATGGATTGAAGGAAGGATAGATGCACATATGCCCATATTAGAGAGACTTACAAGAAATCTAGCGAGTAAATTAAAATTACATTAAAATATAAATATTTTAGAAGCAAAATCATTTTATTACTTTTACTTTATTTCATAATTTATAACATTATAAAATACTTAATAAGAATTAAGAGCTGTCACTAATTTGTAGTGAGACTTTTAAAAAAATAATAGATCTTCTAATACAAACATCATGCATAAAGTTTATTCTCGTTAGTGGAAAAAATAAGTTGTATAATTTAAGGAAATTAAGTTAAATTGCCGCAACTGTTAATTTTCTTAAGCAATGCAAAACAAATTAAATGTCAAATTAATTCATAACAAATTTAAAACAATAAACAAAATGCTATTAGTCTCAAGCTAATAAAATATTGTCGTAATATTAATTTTTTTTATAAATTTCTTTATTGCTATTTATCATAAAATCCACAAATATAAATTTAAAGAGTGAAGATGATAAAATTTGTAAAAAACAGAATTAGATTTACTTACTTTAATTTAATTTAATGGGTTCTAAAAAGATTTTACTTTGAAAAAGCTAAAATATTTTTAATATGAATTATATGAAATATTTATATTAATTAAATAAATCATTGAAAACGAAATAAAGAAATATAATCTGTGTGTTATCTATATAAATTTGAAATCAATAGCCTTCGATGTGAATAAAATGAATTATAATACTTACATTTTAAACTACAAATTTTGGTATATAATAATCAAAATTTAATTTGATATTTGTTCTTTTTGAAAGAAATCATTTAAATTTTTACATGAAATAATAAATTTGATGCTGCATTCCACTTATCAATAATACATCTAACAAGTAAGTTTTTGATAAAAATAATATTTTGTATTTATAAATATTTGTATTTAAGTTTGCATTTTTGATATTATAAGCAAATTCTTGATACTTAATAAAGAAAATACATATAAAATTATTTGCAAGATTTTTTATAGTCTGTAGTATGTTAAATTAAAATGTAGTAAATCATCATTAAATAAGAATAACTGGTAATTGTATTCATTTGATGTAGTTATTTTCATAAAGAGGTCTTTATACAGGTCATTATTTATATAATTTATCATTAATATATATGTAAATTTTCATTATATATTTCACAGAATCTGTGGCAAGGGTTATTTTTCTTTGGTAGTTAGATATGAAACGTAAAAGCTTAAAGTTTCATTTTTTATAATTAAATATTGGCTCTCAGCGCAATCATGCCTTTACTGTAAAGGTTATAACTCATGAAACACAGCGTGACTTATTGTGTTTACATAATTAGTAATCTTCACTTATCTGTTGATAATTCAGACTTTGTAAATAATGAAATCTTGTCAATTCACGGTATTAATATTTTCAATGTTAATTAAAATATTAATAAACAATAATATTATTTAATACCGAGCTTTTAAGCTATCATGTGTAAACTTTTTACAACACACTTTAATATGGTCTTGCTCACGGTGAAAGTGAATATTTCCATTGCATCCTGTGCAAAAGATTTTTAAATGGGTTGAATTTTAAGAAACGCGTTATTTTTCAAACCATAGTTTATTAGTTTTTACAATATAGGTAGAGTAACACAATATAGTAGACTTAAAAACTGAATGCATTCGCGCTAACGCTGGGCCCCATAAAGCTATAACTAGCTTTATGAAGGCTCAGGAAAATTGAATTAGGGGGCCCCTACGTACAGTGTTGACTTCGAGCATTTTTATTCAAAGAATTTTTGGGAGAATCTGCGGGTTCCTCATTTGTTTTTTAACGCGACCTCATGCCAGATAAGTTCTGCATTGCGTCAGTGCACCCTGCGTATGCGCCACACTGACAATCTAAGGTTTAGATATGGCCAAAATTTAAATTTCGATATTCTTATTATAGTAATGAGTGTATAGAAGATTGGTGGGAACTAGGGCAATTGCATTTTTTGCCCAAACTAAACGACTCCAGTTAAACATCAGTTATATACAATGCACTGGTTTATTAATATAGTAACATTTTTCTGTTTGAATTGCCAAATGAGAGAGATTAAACTCCCAAAATTCCATGTTTACGAACTTGTTTCATGGCATATATTAATCTACGAAAATGATATATTAAACTGAAGAATGGGTCTATTCATGTTTCTAATCACAATGTAATAAATGTTACGGAATGGACTATATACAGTATAAGCCTATATATATATATATATATATATAGGCTTATACTGTATATAGTCCATTCCGACCAGTTCATCCTAAATATAAATCTCTTGCTGAATATAACTCCTGAATATAGATCTATCTTTTCGGCCACATGGATAAGCTGTTATCTTAATCCTATATATGAAGTAAATGAGAACTTACAAATAACCTGTTTTCTATTCCTGAATGTGAATTTAGCAATCTGCATTAGTGAATTTAGCAATATCGATAGCAAACTGATCATTGTCTATAGTAGGAATATGTATACAGATGAGTATCATTAATTTATAAATAAAAAAAAACTTTTATTGACAACTTTTAGATGAAACATTTAGCTGCCATATTTTGTGATATTAAAATAATTACTAATAATTTATTACGCGCATTAAATCATACGTAACAAATATATTTCTTCCTTTATTCAATGTGACTTTTCAATTTTCAGAATGAAGTATCCTTGAAACGAATGAATGGATCTTGTATATGAATACATCAAAAAACATGAATGTGTATAATCTACATGGGGAAAATCAGGATAACGTCATAATACTGTACCTCTTTCCTTATAAGCAAATCCAAGATTACTCATTAGACGGGAAATCTCATTCTTTTCATTTTAATAATGTTTTAAGTTAAATAATTCTAAATTTTTGTTATTAAAATTGTTCTTAATGAAAAAACGCACGTAAAGAAATCTTCTATAGTGTTTATAATTGCAAAAACATGTATTCATAATATGTACAATTGTATAATAATCTATAACTTTGTAGACTAAATTAGTGGGTATACACTAATTTAATACTATATTTTATTTACTAATTAATACTAATTTATACTGTATAATTTAATAATATTAGTGGGTATACATTAATTTAATACTATATACTATAATTTAAATAAATAAAAATACTAGAATGATAAAATTATGGTTAATATTTCATAAAAAAAATCATAAAAAATTGATAACGAACGGAATGAAAATTTGCAAATGCAATTATGTACATAAATTTATGAAATTACAATAAAAATACCATTATAACCTTATTAATTTGTCAAAAAAAATTTTAATACAACAGCACCATCTAGCGATATAAAATGAAAATAAATTCACGAACAATTTTTTTACGTAATTAATTTTAATCTGTATTGTATATAATAATACATTTTATTACTTTAGCCAGTATATAAATATAATTAAAATTTTATTTTAAAAATAAACCGATTAATGCTTAAAAATTAAAAAAAAAAACAAAATTAATTTTATATAAGGAAAAACGTACAGGAAAAATGCTAAAAATGTATATTAAAAATAAATCTAACCTTTACCATTAAAAATATACTTGATTTTTAAAAAAATCTGTGAAGATTCTTCACGTCGTACGTTTCTTTTCAGCCTTAAATCTCATTGTGAATGCAGGAAACAGTAACGATTTGGTTTGACTCGTTATCACGTGATCAAAAACAATTTCCCTTTTCTTAGAAACTATCTCATATGAGAATATATTAGCATAATTTAAAAATAAAACGAAACACACGCTTGTATCAAAGTCAAAAATATCTTTTTAAAATAGTTTTTTTTTCTCCACATACGTGTATTTTTGTAACAGAAAATACGCATTTTTTGTTATTTTCAAAATTATAGAGAATAGCGCAGATTTAGATGGGAAATACTTAAATTTTAAGTATCTAAGTTCAGGGTATATAGGACACGTTCCTTACCATTTCGCATAAGGGCAATGATAATGATAATGATCAAGTGAGATACAGTATATAAATCTTAAGTTCTCGAGTACTGTACATTAAATTACATTACTAAAGGCAAGGTCACGATTCGTAAAATGGATGTTTTGTCCTCACGAAGTGAATTTTTCTCTACTAATATATTCATATAAACAAAATTAGAAAAAAAATAACAACTTGACACCGATTTAATGAGGACAATCCCCTTTACTTTCAGTTTTACTAGGAAAAATAAATAAAAATTTTTGACCTTCAAAATCATCAAATGTCGTCATTAAATGCTTCTGAAAATTGTAGAAAAAATTCATATTTATTTTTATTTATTTTTCAATAAATAGGAAAGAAAAACGTATTATTTCTGTTATAGCTGCAATATTTTCTGTTTACTCTGATCACATCCTAAGAGGAAGGAAAACAATGTTTTAAAAAGTAAACAGGAATTTATATTACTGTTTTCGGATACCGTGAGATTTCGTCTTGCACAGGTTTTTCTGTGTAAAATTGCTATTTATTAGCTGTTTTGTACAGAAAAACTCGTATAAGACAGAATCTCACGATACCGAAAATTTTTTCCACATGTTTCGTTTTATTCAGATTATGTTTTAGACAGGTTTTACTGTATTAATAATAGAAATCATTCAATCAATTTTCATTACATTATCTGGAAATCATGATAATTGAAGTTAAGTTCACGAACTTAAACTTGAAAACGTGAAATAGTTTAAAACTACATGAGATTTATACACATTTCCCTTCCAAAAAGTACAAAATTATCTAAATTTCAAGCATAATTTACATTAAATATGAAATTCTATGTAATGTAATTCAAATAATAAACGAATTTTTCTTATTTCTCGACGATAAACGAGTTCGAAACGTATAATAATAGTTTTGTACACGTTTTTGGAAATAAACTGACTCTCTTAACTTATAAAATGTATTATTGAATAGTAAATTATTACAAATATTATTATTTTTTTTAGTAGAAAAATCGCGAAATACACGCGTAATGTAATAAATTTCGGATTTATTCTGTTACAGCTGTGCTTAAAACAGCTGTAATCAAGATTAAATAAATAAGGAAAAAAAATCCGGTAAACGGAATAATTTCTATGAAAATTAATTTAAAAATTGTTGATATTACTTTTAAACAGAACAGTTAAGAAAAAAATAATAATCCTGTGAGAAGGAAAACAGATTTCTGAAATAAATGAAATTGGTTAGAAATTAACCTCGTTAGTTGTAAAATAAAGTTTTTAAATACATAAATAAGCGCTTATAGATGTTAAAATATATGTTCTTAATTTTTCTTGTCAAAAATGAGGTCGCTGTAAATTTAGTTTCGAAATCGTTTGCCATAACTAACACGTGTATACGATTTAGTGCATGCTGCTTCGTTCACTTCTATACTATTTATGGGGAGATGTTAATAAAATTTAAAATAATTCTTTTATAACTTAAATTATTATAAATAAATAGAATTTAAAATTTTTTGATTAATTTAAAATCTTGTGAATGAAATTTTAAATAATAATTACGATAACTGTTTCTGTTTCATTAATTTATTTACGTAACCTTTTTAATGTTTTAAACATTATTATGGAAAACTGATTCTTTAATGCTGATTAGGCACGAATTTGCGAGTTATTTAAGCTAATGAATGGTATTGATTACTTTAAAATTAATTAGATTTATTCCGTTTTATTAATTTATATTGGCGTATATATTTCTAATTAGAAGCTGGAAGTTTATTTGGGGATTCGCGTTATTTAATAGAATTTTTAATTAAAAGAATAGAAAATAATACTATTTTTAATCATTATAATTGAGAAATAACTGAAAACGGAAGAGGAAATATATCGATGAAATCATCTATATCATCATAAAATAGTTTTACTTGCTAATTATGGGTATCCTTCTTAATGTTAATGTTTAAGAAGCCCAGTAAACAACGTGTATAAGATGACAGATTCTATATTATTTAAGATATTTCTAAAATAATATCACTTAATATGTTTTTAATTTAAAATTGAATTATAATTTCTAATGCTTTCTGAAATATTCGTTGAATAGAGAACTGAATTTCAATTTAAGGTAATAACACTTCAATTTCTCTTTCAAAAACTCTGCCTCAGGTTTTCTACAATACAGTGGAAGGGAAAAAAAAAAGATAATTATAAAAGTGTACTATCACAAAACTAGTTTTGGAATATTCAATTGCATAAAATATTTGTAGGAAAGTCAAATTATAAAAGTTTGACCTTGGACAAAATGGCGAATTTCCTTCATGATTTTGAATTGTTGCCAATTATTAGAATGTTAGTTTTAGTTTTTTTTTTTAATATATATATTGCTTTTCCCATTTATAATAAACTATGAAAAAAGTGAACTACATTGAACTAGTAATGAGTTTACCAATCGTAAACTCTGTGACCGGTAAATCTATGAGGCTCACAATTGTCCTATTCATTGTAGGCTTCGAACTATGTCATTCATGAGCAACTAATGTTTGTTAAAGTTCAATTTCTAACTATTTTCTATATTAATTATGAGCTCTGAATACTGATATCATTATTATCTTGGAATTTAATTTATTTATACCTATCAAAGGTTAATGATTGAACATGCGTTGCGTAAACGCTGTATTTAGCAATGCTATAAATATTAATTAAAAGATGAAGGTTATAGAGATTTTTACATATTATTCAGTAGTTTAGATGTATATAAACATAAGAAAATTACTAATTGATCCTTGCATAATAACTTATAATTTTATTTGTAGCTGAAAAAATTGCTTGCGTTCTCGTTTTATTTCAAAACATTGTTGACAAAAATATATTGTGACAATGTGTCATGCTATTTTTGAAAATTTATTCTTCATTAAACCGAAAATTAAGCGCAACCACTTGATAGAAAACCGTACATTGGTTGGTTAGATGAGATTCATTTTTTAATTACGAGTATATTCGAAGGTTTTCATAATGTTATTAAAACATGGGCGCTCGCAGCTTATTGTTTAATGTTGCATGACAGGTTTCAGTTATTTCTAAAGTAACTAAAGCTAGTAAAGCACAAGCTAACACACTAATTTCAAGCCCCTCCAGCTAGATCTATTATTATACGTTATATAACCAGTTGAGGACAACATTCTTTGGAAGGGGGGAGAAAAATGCGTCTACTTCGTCCATCGTTAAGATATCTTTCGTTAAAATTCTCTCTCTGTCTCTCATAAGTATCGATCACCTGTCAAGTGCATCCAAGCAACAATCGACTAATGACTCATTCGTAAATGAGGCTAAAAAAAACAATTTTTCCATAACTTTAAAGTATAGTCATGTTTACAAAGTAACTACATACATATCTTCACTGCAATACAGTCCTGTTCTGTGGGAATTCATCATATCTCGAAGAGGTTAATAACCTTATGGGTGCAACATCAATATTTTGTCTACTTAGTGCCCCACCTTATCGTGCGTTAATGATTGTTAAAGCACCACACCCAATTCGGTAAACATATGGAGATTTGGGTACTTACTCGATTTCATTTTCTTGCTGGACTGAATAACATTTTATCCCGAGTATGCTTTGATACCTCCAACAGGCACTACGTTCTGTACACATGGTCCTTTAAGATGATTGTTGTTACATTCTTCCAATAGTACGTGCAATAGGTAAGACTTTGACGTCATATTAACTTAATGTTGATTGGTTGAATATGAGTGGTACATCGATTCGATGAGGTTACAGTCACGTGTTCAACTGGTTGCTACTGTGAACACGATTTTATCTGATGTTAAAGGCTTTAAACATATCAAAATTGTCATTTTTATCTTGCTAATTACTCGGGGTGGAAAAGTTACGTTTCTTTAACAGAAAAAAACTGCGGTTTTTTAAGCAACTAGGAAACTATAAAAAGTCGAAGGAAACTCGAATTTTTAGCATTTTTTTCCCTTAAAACTTTGCGAAACTTCG